CGCACACGCACACGCACACGCACACGCACACGCACACGCACACGCACACGCACACAATACGTAATCTCGGCGTCACGTTCCTGCTGGTAACGACATCATGACCGATCATGACCGAGGATCTGGTTCGGGGACGACCATGACCGAGTAACCGGCTTGTGCGCGCACAACGGCGTCTTGTGTTTCCCGAAGATCCCCACCACAGATGGGTTGGCTTAAACGCTATTCTAACTAACCGTTCCAACTCGGAGCTCGATGTTTAAACCATGACATCGTGTACTTTCCGTAACCTGTGGCCCTCCTGCTTCCAACGTATTGATGAAAAACGAGCACAAGTATGCGTTTATCTAATAATTTATAAAAAAATATATATATATGTATGTATGACCGCACTAAAGGCAGAGCAGAACAGATGGCACCTTCACACGTTTAAAAGGTCTGCACGTACAAACGCGACATCGTAGCGGCCCTCTTGCGACAATAACAACGATCTCTACGTACAACAAGCTTATGCCCGATTGACCCCGATGCAAAGCAGCGATACTACACGCAAGGCGCAGGTGAGACAGATAGCATTGACAACATAGAAATAATATAGATAATATATAGTTATCTATATTATTTCTATGATTGGCAACCTGACAGGTACAACGTGTGACGTCAGCAGCACTAGCAACAGCTGGTCAACCGTATCAGCCCGGCATTAATGGCAGCGCGCCTGCCGCGCGGGTTGTCATTACGCTAGTACTTGTTGGCTTCATCCTTGCATGATTCTATGGGGTGGAAAGCGTGATTATATGAAGCCACTCACAGTAAAACGCGTATCGCGTCTACGACAGTCACAGCAGAGCACGCCACGCACGTTACGCGCTATCTCTGCCTCAGCTACCGCCATCGCAGCCATCATCACCATCACCACCGCCGCCATCGCCGCCACCAACACTACCATCACCGCCACCACTACCATCACCATCACCACCATCACCACCGCCACAGCCACCGCCACCACCACCATCATCACCGCCACCGCCACCATCATCACCATCACCACCGCCACCGCCATCACCATCACCATCACCACCGCCACCACCACCATCCTCACCGCCGCCGCCACCACCACCATCCTCA